CAGAGAAAGCGAGCCGGCGTCGGCGGCGCCTCGCCACGCCCCTGCCCTTCCGGTCTCCGCCTCTCCCCCGGAGCATGCGCACGAGGGAGGCCCGACAGTGCCCTGCGTCGGACGCCCGGCGTCCGCACCTACTGGGACTGTCTGTCTGCGGAAGCGGAACTCGAGCCATCCGGGAGGGTATATGGAGTGGATCCCGACCGCGTGCGGGGTGCCGCGGGAGCGCCAAGAGGCTTAGGAGAGACGGCCTCTTCAAGGGCTGACACTACCAACCTTCACTTTTAATAAGTTTTGTATTTGTGCATCCTCGTTTGCGCCTCCTGTTACAAAGGCTATCTTTGTGAAGATTTGCAACATTTGTGGTCTGCTTAATTAACCGAGCTGTGTAGATGATACCGAGATGAAGGGCTTGCCAAGCTCACGAGTCTGGGACGTGGAGAACACAATCAAATTGCCAGCCCAGAGCCGTTTGCATCTCCCCAGAAGACCTTTTAAATTTAGAGGACCGTTTTTAAAGCCACCAGTAACTACACTTGGGCTTTTTTTATATGTGAATCGTCTCATCAAGGACAGAAATAGTGTTTTTTTCTTTTACCTCGGTGAGCTCAGTCCCTGGCACCATGCCTGTACATTCCAGGTGCCCAGTAAATATTTGCTGAATGATTCAGCTATGTTTGTGGTCAGAAATTATTGTTTGTCGTGTCCATAACAGCCTCCTGGAAGATCCAGAATGTGACATCTTCCAATGCTTTATCTATGTCTTCTTTATAGTTTGTGAAGTATAAAACAACGTGTAGTTAACACACGCTGTTCTCCCAAATCCAGCTGCTTCCAAATGGGCTACTAAACTTACATTCTCAAGTACGCCAGATGGTTGGGCTACCTTCTGGGAGGAAAGACGATGAGAGTAATACTTAAATTGGAGTCGGCAGATGAGTTTCCAAAGTTCATGAACTCCCTAAGATTATGGACACTTGTGTGTGTGTGTGATAATTTTTTTTGAGTAGACAATTCATAACTTAGTTTTTCAAAAAAGGGTCTGTTACACAGTTTTTTTTTGGGAGTTTGAGAGGCCATCTAAATACTTCCTTGTTCTTCAGTTATTAATCAGCTCCAGTTCAGTTCAGCAATTGATATGGATATATATAACAAATTTTAATACCTCATATCTATAAGACTCATTGTATATAGCACCTCCCTCCAAAGCCCACATCTATAGCCAGTTCAAGAAGCTCTCCTCCATTCCCACCTGTTCAGTGGAGCATGCCATCCACTTTGGTTGCCTAGGTCTAGGAGGTTTACCCTAGAAAACTTGTTTTCAGATCCTGCTTGACCAGCAACTCCAACTGTCTTTACTTTGCAATTTTAGAGTTTCATCCTCAGATCTTAGTTCCAACAGTAGAAACTGTGATATTGCAGTTTCTATCTTTTAATCTTCCGCAGATCTAGGTAGCTTATCAAATTACAACTCCTCAGTATTTTTGTCTCGGTGTCTATTCATTCAATTTGTTATGCCTAGTCGCATCTCACCCATAATCTTTACTCTCGCTCTGGATTTCCTTAAATGTTGTTTTTACTCTAACCCTACTTAAACCCACCCTTCAAAGAACCCAGGTTTCTCATCTGAAAACCCCACCCATTCATCGCCTCTACATCTTCCATAGGTATTGATTAAATTGAAATGTCTTAGCTGGGGCCAGCAGGTGGTGTAGAGGTTACGGCACTGGAATCCCACATGGCTGACCATGGTTTGAGCTTTGGACCCATGGTTTGAAAATCACACTAGGCTCATGTACATGCATGCCCAAAATCCTAAGAGGAAAAAGGATTGTGGCTTGGCCATGCCCTCTGGGGAGTGATTTCTCACTGCCCCTCTCTCTATGTCTCTCACTCTGGTGAGTGTACATGCCCTGTGGCAAAAACCTTTTTTAAAAAATCTTACCTTTACAGATAATTTCTGTATTCAACTTAGTCACCCTTAGACTCATTTAATGAAAAGAGATCTAAGAAATAGTGAAGTAAAAAAAGGTAAGGTATAGGAATATATGCAAAGCATGATCCCTTTTAATGAAAATAAAAGGGGGAATATATAGATATTTCTTTTGACTACCAATACCCAAACTCCCTTCCCCAATTTGGAAACTTCCCATCTACTATAGAAATTGAAAACTGTGGGCCAGCTGGTGGCATGGTTGTTAAGGCAGTTGGATCCCATATGACTGACCATAGTTCAAGTCCCAGATCTGGCAGTTTGGAAAACACATTGGGTGTGTGCATACATCCCCAGGATCCTAAGAGGAGAATGGAGACAAAGGGATCACAGCTTGGCAATCCTTGCAGAAGGTGCTTTCTCTCTCTCTCTCTGTCTCTTCCAGCCCTATTAGTATGTATTGTTTGTGTTTTTTTTTTTTTTTCTAAAATCATCCCCTTTCCTAGGGAGTGATTTCTCACTTTCCTTTTCTGTCTCTCTCTGTCTCTGGTGAGCACAATTGCCCTATAGCAAAAATATATTAAAAATAAAATTCCATTGACATTAACAAGAATTTTTTAATCTTTTTTTATAACTAAGAACCTATACTCTGCATTGACATATATAAGTATATATGTTTTATATGATAGATATAATATGTATATATGTGTGTGTTTGTGTAGTAGATTCTGTGGTGTACCATGTAGATGCCCTTTCAGACTGAAGGATTTATTCCTCTAGCTCTGGGAGCACTGTTAAAGAAAACCAGCTTGTCAAGGTCGCGTTCCTTTCCTGAGGCAGCTCGTGTCTAATGTCTGTTTAATGTAGGGAATAAA